TCTCTCACTCTCCCTCTCACCGCTCTCCCTCCCTCACCGCTCTCCCTCCCTCACCGCTCTCCCTCCCTCACCGCTCTCCCTCCCTCTCACCGCTCTCCCTCCCTCCCTCACCGCTTCCCTCCCTCACCGCTTCCCTCCCTCACCGCTCTCCCTCCCTCACCGCTCTCCCTCCCTCACCGCTCTCCCTCCCTCACCGCTCTCCCTCCCTCACCGCTCTCCCTCCCTCACCGCTCTCCTCCGCTCCCTCACCGCTCTCCCTCCCTCACCGCTCTCCCTCCCTCACCGCTCTCCCTCCTACCTCTCCTCCCTCACCGCTCTCCCTCCCTCACCGCTCTCCCTCCCTCACCGCTCTCCCTCCCTCACCGCTCTCCCTCCCTCACCGCTCTCCCTCCCTCACCGCTCTCTCTCCCTCACCGCTGTCCCTCCCTCACGACTCTGTAGAGGACGTGAAACTTTGATGAATTTACCTCAGAGTCGCGTGGGTGGGTGTCGAGGCCTAGCACCGTGCAGAGCCTCCGGCCTCGCCTGATTTTGCCACCCGCTGACGCTGGGTACGGGTGCCGTTCCCCCCCCCCCCCCCGCACTACCATATACTGTCTAATCGCTATAATTGAATAATCTACCGACCCTATAATAGTAATTGCACACATGTGGTGGGGGGGGAGTGAAGAGGACGTGAAAACTTTGATGAATTTACGTCAGAGTCGCGTGTTAATGCGTGCGCCTATTTTTAAGGGGAATTAAAAATGGCGTCCACCCCGCGGCGAAGGCGTGGCTACCCGTTGCCAGGGGCAACCGCCGTCCAATGAAAGCGGCGAAGGCGTCGCTACCCGTTGCCAGGGGCAACCGCCGTCCAATGAAAGTGCGTATGGTCCGGCGACACACACACACACAGACAGACAGATTCGCGATTTATATATATAGAAAACAATGAAAATTCTCACGACGTTTCGACTGCAACTCAATCAATCATCATCAGGTGTGAAATCCACAGCAAGAATTTTTTTTATTTTTTATACTTATATTACTTTATTATTTCCCTTCTACGTGACTTTACCGAAAGAACCAAGAATATGAATCCCTGCAGTCACGAAAGCTTTAAATAAAATGTTTACATCACTTGTACCTGATTGATTTGTGGATTACATTGTCGTCATTATGATGTAATTTTCGTGATGGAATCGTCGCAGTGAAAGCGCCAGCATTTATTCATTTCGATTGAAAGCATCATAAGAAGCCTCTTGCAAATTAAAGAATCCCGAACAGATTGAAAGACGAATAGGCTAAAATATAGGATGATGCATTTATGAACTCCCCACTGAAATAAGAGAAACATTGGGAAAACATCACTGAATTTTTCCCACCAATCACAACACGCTTGATAGTCAGCTCTTGACCAAAATCACCATTAAATCGTCCCTTGAGAAGGAAGATTATTGGAAATTATTGTGGTGTTTATAAATGCGTCGACCCTGTTTGGTACATAACGCGTGTAATATTGTAATCCTGAACGGTTTACAAGAGCGTGGTTACGATCCTTGAGTATTCGGGTGATGTGGCTTTGTTTAACACGCCCTGGAGCAATTAATATACAACGCTAACACCACCACGCCGATTATCATCATTATTGACCTGCTTCATTCTGTGCCGATGGTTTGCATTACATTAATGGGGTCTCCGATATCGGGACCACGTGTAAGTTAGGTTTAACACGTAGGCTTTCGCGACCAATATCGTCTATAATGGAGGTTAGATCGCGGTAAACATATATAAATATGGCTTGGGCCCCGCAGTTATACAAGTATACATTTACGCGATTTAACCCAAAAAAATCTTCTATTATGGACGTGTAAGTTGATTAGCACGTAGGACATTTAAATCCGAGAATAATAAATTATCGCATTGGCAGCTGATCTGCGAAATGTATTCTGCAGCACTGATCATCAAGCCTAAGCAGAGTAAATCTATTGCACTTGAAGTAGTTCACTCTGATTTAAAGCTTTCGTGACTGCAGGGATTCATCTTCTTGGTTCTTTCGGTAAAGTCACATAGAAGGGAAATAATAAAATAAATAAAATAACATAATAAAAATCGGGCGCTGTCTTTCCGACAGCCCTGTTCTTCACCTGAGGACGGCTGCTTGCGTTGTGGCCGAAACGTCGTGAGAATTGCATTTTATTATGTTTTATTATTTTATTATTTCCCTTCGACGTCACTTTAGCGAAAGAACCAAGAAGATAGTTCACTCTGACTCAGCCGCTGCTCGTCTCAGCGTTGTGAGTGGCTACCGCAGTCGGCTCGCGCGCTCCCGACGCTTGGCCCAATCGGCTTGTGTGCACTAGCAAGTGCGAATTGTAGCCTGGTAGGGGTTTGGTTGGACCCTTGTCTGTTGTCGAAAATGTAATCGTGCTCGTTGCGCGGGCAAGCCCCCGCGTCCCAGAGGCGCGGAATTTGAAATTTGAGGCGCCAAAAAAAAACCCCGTGGCGTAAGTCTGCAGCGGTGGTGTTGCTATGGGTGAGCAACGGCATCGCGATTCACTCTGCACGATCTGAACGTACAGCGGTGGGGCTTTGGGGCTTTGCTCATGCACCGCTCGACCTGCCTGCATTATATAAGACCGGTTTATTGTGCAGTTATAGATATTTGCAGGGTTAAGTTAAAATAAAAAACTTTCTCCCCTGGTTTGAGTGTTGGGTAAATCTGAACAGCAGATTAAAAAGCATTTGACTTTTTCACATGGCTACGCATTTGTTAACCCGAGCGCGTTTGTTGCCTTTTGTATTTTTGTTCAGGCAACGTGGACGAGAGGGTGCTCCAGAATGTCATCGAGGCCTGAGTGGCTGACCGGGCTGGCCCATCGGGCCGCCCCACCACGTCCCCAGCCGTGCAACTCTTCGCCGGCACTGACCCGTGGAGGGAAGCGCGAGTCCAGCGTGAGCCCCAGGGCCGTGACGCAGCTCCCCGTGGCCAAGACGCGGCGGCTTTGGCACTCAAAAGCGGTCTCGCGCCACAACAGGGATGATGGCATCAAGTCTGACAGGACCGACAGCGATTCATGCAGCTACACGGATCCGAGTGGCCTTGAGGAGGACGAGGAGGGCTTCTGTGACGATGAGAGGCGTGCGCTGGACCGTGCGGCGGTGCACGAGGACTCGGGCCTGGGCTCCAGCGTCACTGACGACGGCACGGTGTCCCGTGAGGCAGGCGGCGAGGGGTTGGATGCTCCGGGCAGCTCTGTCAGAAGTTGCCCGGGATCGGACGCGAGCGTGGCGGCGTGGTCCCGAACATCCGTGGACTTGGACGACTCTCCCTTCCTGCCGGCTGTGACGAGCAGCTGGAAGCGAGACGAGGACTCTGCGGATTTGGCGAAATCCGGCCGACATAACTTTGCTGCAGGGGAGCGTAACACCCTGGATGAACTTTTGGGCAAAAAGGCAGAGGCCGTCGAAAGCGGCGTGGGCATGGGGACAGAATGCGGTGGTGCCGTGGGCACGCGGCGACCGGACGTGTCCGGCCACGTTGCCCTCCCCGACGCCAGCTTGTTCTCGCCGACTACGGAGAAGCGAGACTCTGGAATCAGACTCACGCCGAACTCCTCCATCCTCGACTACGGCGACGACGGCGACACGAGCGGCCGCGACTCTCTGGATGGTGCCCGCGCGTCAACGTCGCTCTCGCCGCCATTCCTGAAGACGCCGCAGCCAAACCGCAGGGGCCGCGAGCGCGGCGCCAGTTCCGTGTTCCGCACGCCAGTGACGGCGCTCGCGCGCACGTTCAACCTGGACCCGTCATCCCCCGGCGGCTTGCGGTGCTCTCCCTCGCTGGGCGGCAGGGACGCGGTGCCAGGCTCTCCCGCGGTCGACGACGACGGCAGCTTTCGCTGCGTTTTCTCGGAAAGGGGCCGCGTCGTTACGGAGGGCGGCAACGACGCGGATGAGCGCAGCCTGGACGGCTCGGGCGACGACCTCACGCCGGACCTGTGGCCACGTAGCCGCAGACTGGGCCGCTTGCAGAGCCCCTCTACCATCCGCGAAGGCGGCTCCCGGTCGGACGTCGATGACGGCCGGGCGAACGTACAGGTGGCGCGGCACGCGGAGGAGGCGGCGGCGGCGTCCGGGTCGCCGAGCTGCCGTCGAGTGGTGAACACGCGCAGCCAGCGGAGGATGGTCACGGCGAGAGACGGCGTCGCCAGTGCCGCCTTGAGAAACGCCGCCGTGCACACGGCGCCCCCGTGCGTGTCGCGCCATGCCACGCCACCCACGCGCGCTGGCGTGGTGAGCGCCGATGCGGTGCTCACGCCCGCCCTGAGGCTGCAGCAGGAGGTGGCGTGGCGGTTCTGTCAGGGCCTGCAGGAGGCCACGCCTGTGGGGGCTTCGGGTCGAGCATCGACGTCGGCGTGGAGGCACAGGTACCCGTAGGGCATCGTGACTCTCTCCGGTGCTGTTCATGTTGTTTCAGGGTGTTCTTGAGAGGCCACTCTAAGCACATTTCATCTATTCAGATCAATATTTTTCACAGTATTTTATATTTTCTCATTTTATCCCAATTGAGCTATTTTTGGCATGTCATAAGACATAATCCATTGGTAACTTGCTGAGCAATGCACCTCTTTGTGTGAAAGAATAGCTCACGGAATCAGATACCACAAAGTTACCTCTGGTCCACATAGTTGGGGGCAGCACTTTCCCACCTGTGCTATCACTGAAAATATTTTGAATTCTCAGTGCTTGGAATTGTCAAATTTAGTGAACAACCAAATTTTATGCTGTGTCTTTTTGTACAGTCTTCGGTTCTTCCACCAAGAGCAGGAACTCTCTGCCCTTGAGATCCCAGTTTTATAACAGGCAGCTGGCTGGACTACAACCCCAGGATCTCAGCAGTTCCAGCTCCAAGTTCTGACCTGAGCCACCCAGTCGCCGCCTAAAATAGAGATAGTTTTTATGCTAAAAATACGTGAATTGAATCCTACCTTTCAGGATTGACCCTTTACATTCGACGCAAAATATTTTCTGCTGTTACATTGAGGTTAGCGGAGCCAACATAATTGTACTAAAAAAGTCTGAAGCAATCCAAACGAGGTAGTTAAATCAAGTGATTTTTAAAAACATTTCTTTTTATAAACACGCTTTAATGAAATGTACCGTACGAGTAATGGCAGAACTTCACGACTCGAGGAAGTGGCCCCGAAGCTTGCCACGGCGTAAGGGACCGTGGTGATTTACAGCCAACGTGAGTTGATTGTGGCAATTAGACCCAAGCCGAAACACAAGATATACAAAAGATTGTTTAAAAAAATATATTTTTTTTTATGCTAGAATATAGTATTGTCATCAGTATGACATACGTATACCAAGTTTGCAGTCGATACCACATTGGGAAGTGGGGTAAAATAGAGTTACAAGATTTGAGGATACGGCAATAGACAGAGTTGAGGATACAAGAGACAGTGTGAGTTAAATGAAAGCGTGTAAAAAGAGAAGATAATCAGACCATGAAACATGAATTGTGATTTAACACGTGGCAGGCTTTCGCGACCAATATCATTCATAATCAACGTTTTTGGGTTTAGATCGCGTTATTTATTAATGTGTCGTAACCCTCCACCACCCGACACGGCCAATCAGTAAAAAAGTGTCACGTTGACAGAAGACAAATAGTTCACTGCTTTAGCCCACCGGTGTGTTGAAGCGAATTGCCCGATGATGCTGGATGCAATTACCAGCGAAACGTCGTACTCAAATTGTAAATGTTGTGGTTTCACGCTTCAACACACCGGTGTGGGGCTAAAGCAGTGAACTATTTGTCTTCTGTCAACGTGACACTTTTCTACTGATCGGCCGTGTCGGGTGGTGGAGGGTTACGACACATTTATAAATAACGCAGCGATCTAAACCCAAAAACGTTGATTATGAATGAATTATGATATTCAGCAGATCACCATGGCTGTGTAAATGCCAACTAAATGAAGCAATCTTTGTTTTATCTGGAGCGTCCTTTATTAACCCTGCAAAGCATCACTGCTGCGGGTGGAGGGTGGTCATGCAAAAAAAACATCTGTCTTGTGTTGAGTGTGCTTTCACAAGCAGGTGTGCTCGACTGTTTAGTTTGGATAGCATCCAGAGGGCTTCACAATATCCATATTTTATTCTCAAAGCGTTTAAATTCTGCTGGACTATTTAATTTAAATGTGGGATTTGGAAACCAGATTAAGAGAACTTACACGTGAAAGACGTAAACGCTAAAAAAAATAGTCGTCTACATCAGGCCCCTAAAGCACAAGGCAGCCGCAGTCAGCATCGCTGGCTCTGCTTTAGTGATGATTCCTCACATTTTTAAATCCTTTATATTAAGTTCGCTTGCTTGCTTGCTTGCGCGCTTACGACCGTGCAAATATTTCGGTCGTTTTTTAACCCACTTCCCGTGATCCAATCGAGCTGACATTTTGCACACAGACTCGTTGTACGTGACAATTTATTTTCGTGAAAAATTGTTTCCAAAATTTTACACTTTTTAGGAAAACAAAATTTCATATTTAATTTAAAATACCAATGTGATAAAAATGAAACTCTTACTCAAGAAAAACAGAAATGAATAATAAAATAAAACCGATGCCACGCATATAAAGGATTTATAGTGAAAAACTTTGTTTTTACGGGTAAATTTTTGGTGTGTACTATGAAACTATAAAATCCACTTGCAGGTTTAGTCTCGCACAAACACACACAACCAACCAAGCGGTGACTGGCACTGCCGTCCGTCCTTGTGGTGGTTGCTCGCCGAACAATCGCATTGGGACGTGCCACGTGGTTTGAACGTTGCCGCGTGCTGATTGGCTCTCCCGTTTCTTCCCGACGGCAGCCCGGCGCAGCTCAACGACGCGATGAAGCAGGCGCTCGCTTCCGTGCCCGTCGCCCTGAGGGAGAGCCCCTCGCTCAAGCAACTCATTGGACGTGAGATGGGCTGCAAGTTCCTCGACATAATCGCCGCGCTGGAGGAGAAGGGCCTCAGGCGCGTGGTGTGCCAGCTGCTTGGCTACCTGTCGGCGGCGGACCACGACAGGTACGCAAGTGGTGGGGCCCACACCCTCCGGAGGCTGCTCTGGCCACAAGAGGGAATGAGCCATTTAGACTCGCTCGCTCCCCTTGCCTGTGGTCACAGCAGTTCATGTACCAGACTTTACCACACGGTGTCATCAGCTGGGACCGTCACAGCCAGATTTGCTGTATCAATACATGGGCTGCAAGATTTGCTGTGTCAGTACAGCGAAAGATTTGCTGTATCATTACAGCAAATGTGGCTGTGACGGTCCCACCTGATGACGGAGACTTGTGTTGCCTCCGAAACGTCGTGATTTTTATTATTTTATTTTATTAATTTTAATTTCATTTTTTTTACCTACATGGTGACTTTACAGAAAAAACTAAGAGTTTGAATCCTCACAGTCACGAAAGCTGCAAATCTAGAATTTACCACACTGGTCATGCCGGTTGGTGAAGGCTCCCCAGGACTGCTTGAGATATCGATTCTCACGTATGTGATCTGCTGCCAGGTTCATTGTGTAGTGTGCCTACTCCTGTGCTACTACTTCACCACTTCTAATAGCAATATTGCTATTTATTTGCCCAATAAAGTCTCACAACTCGGGACTGCTAACTCTGTTGTGGGGACAGGTGAAAGGCACACGTGGCTAAGTGGTACGTGTCTTGCGGCAGGTTGTGCCAAGTGAGCGCAGTGTGGCGCGCTGCCGTGGACTGGGGGCGGGCGCTGAGGCTCTTGACTCCCAAATCGGTGCCCGTGATCTGGCACAAGGTACGTGTGGGGCCAGTGAGCGTCTACGACTCCAGCCGCTTGGTGTGCGGCCACGCAGAAGTCACATCATTTACGTGAGGCTTGAGCTCATTTTACACTTATTGATGCGAATTGAAAGCGATCAATTCTCAGAACCGTGTTTTAACAACGCAGTACAACACGGCAAAATCTGAATGCAACATGATGTCAGCTGTAACCATGCACAGTGCTCCATAGGTGGCACTAAACCCATTCTACTTAAAGCATACATTAGGAATCTTCATTTATCCTGGAGATTGTCAAAGTGGGGAGAAGGTCACATGACAATTAGCCAATGACCATATTCAGCCCATGATCCATTCACTGAAATCTATTGCAGTGGGAGCAGCAGTGGAGACGTTCGTTGCGGGCTGCTTGAGCGTAACCTCGTTGTGACTCTTCCCTCCCCAGGAGAACGTGCCCAACCCGTGGGCAGGGCGACGACGTGGCTGACGCACGTTGGCACCAGCCGGTGCCCAGGGGCAGTCCCTTGGCACCGTCCGGCCAAAGCCTCGCGACGCCGTCGCCCACGAATGGGCAGGCAGCGAGCAGCCGAGCGAGCAGCCAGCACGAGCGCTTCGTGGCGGTATGGAGACACTTGTGATGGGGGGGCAAGGCGATAGTGATTCTGTCATGTGATGGAAAAATACGAGTAAGCTTTTCCCCTATTCTGGCAATAAAACAGGTGTTAGGGTGTTCAAATATCAAATAGATACCCACTGCAAGGCATCAAGCCGCATTAACCACACGTACTTGTGGGAAACATGAAATGTTACTGTCAATTCACCTTAATTTATTTTACTCGAATACTCGATGTTAAATTCTATCAGGTACGGGGAAGTAGAAACTGCATTTCCCATAAATATAAATATGCTAAATTCCTCTTGATATGCAAATTCTTTTGTCAAGGCGCCCTTTCCCCCCCCTTCCAACCCAGCGTATATATACGCTCCAAGCTCGTGTGCTGTTTCATTCAGACGCTGTCGCCTCGACAGACCTGGTCTTCACCTGAGGACGGCTGCTTGCGTTGTGGCCGAAACGTCGTGAGAATTATTTTATTATGTTTATTTTTATTATTTTATTACTTCCCTTCTACGTGACTTTACCGAAAGAACCAAGAGGAAGTAGAAACTAGGTGCCTCCACTTCAGACACGACAATATATCCCTTCAACGCTTTGTCATCGCGCCCTTCTCTCTCCGTCCACCGCCGCAGGTGGGCCTCACGCTCCACAGCGACGAGTCGCTGCGCAAGTGCCCGCGCTGCCAGTCTCCGGCGCGCTTGCGCCGCGCGGAGGAGCGGGCGCTGTGCACGCGGGAGTCGTGCGCGTACGACTTCTGCGCGACCTGCTGGTGCCCGTGGCACGGGTCACGCCCGTGCAGTCCCGCGCGGACGGCGCGCCGGGGGCCGTCGGAGGCGCTGCCCGGCACCAAGCGGAGCAAGCGCAACCTGAGGCGGCTGTGACGCGGCGGGGCCCGGGGGGGTTGGTGGCGGTGGGGAGGAGGAGAGCTGCCAACTCGGACGTTTCATTTCTTCCGCCGAGAGATGTTTGAATGTGCGCCACACCAGTTATGGTCACGACCCCCGCCACCACGCCCCCCCCCCACCGCCCCCCAACCTGGAAACGCCTGTGGACACCTCAAGTCGACCGGGTTAGGTCGATGGACTCGGTGCCTGCAGTCGCCTTCGTGTTGTCGGCCTCTCAACGAGGTCACTGGATACTTTTATCGAAGACTAGGTGAGAGATTGAGAGGAATGCCTCTATTGCTAGTGTGACCTGGGTAAGCGACATTAGTTTTTAAACTAAATACAAAAGTCAGTCCTAAAGGAATGAGTTTTACATTTAGAAATGAAAGAACATGGGATCCAGCTGCTTGTGAGATCCCTTCAAGTGATCTCCTCGCCACACGACCAGCACGCACAACACTTCGCTATCGCACGTCCTGCTGTACAGATGTTCATCGTATGCCGATCAAACCGAAATGTTTAATTCTCAGAGCTGGAAATTTGGAAGATTATGTGAAAAGCCAAATATAATGATGGTTTTCGTGCATACAATGTGTTAACTTACCTGTGCTGTGCATTATCTGATGTACATATCAGATTATGATGGCAAACGCGGTTAAATGAAGTGAATACCAAGGGTTCGTGAATTTCGATTCGACCTATGAGATGGTCACCTCCTTTCGCCAAATAGGTTCAGAAGGTGGCATTTTCGGGAAGAAGAAGAAAACACGAGGCCTTGTGGTCTAACGAACGTGAATATGACGTGAATCGCAGGCTGCGTATGTACGCACGTGCCCGCGTCTCTCCTCCCATCGCGTGGCTCGGCTCGGGATGGAGTTGGATTTTAAAGCGCGTCGCTGAAGAATTCCTGGCGCCGACGTGCGGAGGGGAAGTTGTCCGCGTCGCCGCGAATGCGTTGGGCAGCTAGCGCCTCGTGTGCACTGGACAACGGACGGCACATCTGTCGGCGCGTATTGGTGATGCTCGCGGGATGACAGACTGCACGAGCGCGATCAACAAACGCCGCCTTTGCGCGCGAAGCGTTACGTGGAATGGAACGGTGCTGACACGGCTGTCGTTTCCGTCGTGGCTCCTTCGAGCACGGAGGAACATTGGGAACGTTTGTCGTCTTGCCACTGAATACCGTCACTTTATTAGGAAGAATGTGTTGATTGCAGTCGTCGAAGTGTTCTCTGTCATTGCCTCAAGGCCAGTTGGTGGGTTGGCCGCAGTTGGTGAGATGTTAGAAGGTTAAGAAACTTGACGGTGGCCACCCGCTTGGCACGGTGTTACTCACGGTCGTGCAAAGCAGTCGTGGTGATTACCCAGCGGTAGCCGGCGATGATCTCCTTAAGAGACAGCCGCTGTCACAGTATGCAGGCTGCGTGTGGACAAAGCGAGCGGCACTGCACACGGTGTTACAAATGTTCTAAAGGGTGACGTTCTGAAGGGAGTTGACATTCTGCGCCCTATCTGGAGCAATGAAGACTGACCAGCATTGGAGCTGATGTGCGTGTGTACAGCACTGCTTGGGCAATCCCTATGTAAGTCGCGGCTGAGCGTCACCCGATGTGCTCAGGATAAGGATGACACGTGCATTAATGCGTTATGTATATAATTCTGCAATCGTAATCGCATGTACGGTGTAAACTTGAGCTTTGTATTTGCCTGGTTAGTGTTTGTAAAGGTTCGGAGTTTTTGGTGAATCTGGATCATCTGGTTTCTGTCGACCGAGCGGCGTCATGCGCACAGCCTCATTTCCCCAAGGTCTTGTTCACAATTTGAACGCAAATTTTAATCCCATAGTCCACATTTAGACGAATGTTTATGCGATCAAGATGCTGTGAATGGCCCAGTGCCTCCCACGTAGTTACTGGAAAAGTAACAACTTTAAAGCCCAATTTTAACCATTAAATATTGTTAATGTCCTCACATGGCTCCTCAGAATAACGGATTAGTCATTTTAATCTGTTCGTTGTTTTCTTATTGAATAGTATTCCCTCTCTGAACCGTTCCGGAGATGCTGGTGAATAGCCAATGTCGCGGAGAATGAAAACCGATCATTTTAATTAATGACCTTAAATAATCAATCTCGTCACTTTATCACATTCTTCCTCGGTCACTTGATCTCATATCACTTTCTGTCTGTCTCGATGCGGCCGTGCAGCGTTCCAGATGCGATTCAACGGAAAGCCCAAAGTCACGGACAATACATTCGTGAATGGCGAGGGAACGCTGTTTAATGTTGTTAAGTCGACTTGAGACTTTGCTGTGCCACGTGCCTTATGCGCCTTTGTGTGTATGTGTCTGTGAGACGGGCAGTTTCCCATCTCTGCATCGCTGCCTTGCCACGTGGACCGACCCTTGTTCTGCTTCGGCCCGACCCACTCGGCCTTTTACGTGAAAGACCGTGACAACCCCTTTCAAGTGAAACCGCTTCTAATAGTTGTAACATTATATTGCCCACCAACCCTGGGGTCGGTCAGAGCTTTGCAGCATTTGAGAAATAAGTAAGTTTGTAACCTGTTTCTATGCAATGATTAGTCCTATCGGTTGCAATAAACTTGCTTATTTCTCCTAATCTAAAATGTATCTGGAGGCAAGGATTTGGACTTTATTTTAATGGTTGGACTTGAAGCTGAAAAACTGCGAGTATGAGAGGCCACTCGTGACACGTGATGAATGTATTTTCATACAATCACTTTTTTAATGTTTTCTTTGTGTTGCCGTGAATGCTCAAAGAAATCCGAGTGAAGGTTTTTTAAAATTAATTTATGATGTGTGATATTGTACCTTCATTTACAGCGTGCAGTTTTAATAAAGTGTCGTTAAATTTCGATTCAAAGCTTTCGTGACTGCAGCAGGGATTCATATTCTTGGTTATTTCGGTCAAGTCACGGAGAAGGGAAAAAATAAAAAATAAAGTGTCATTCATTTCCTTTGGTGGTAATGGCCGTGAATTGTGCAATGTCGACGTTAAACAATTCCCAGAGCACACGTGCACTAATGCGTCTGTGGTAGTCCCTTAATTATCATTAAGATAATTATCTTACACTCTTCTTCCTGATTTATTGCCAATGCCATCCAGTGGGAGCCTTCAAAGCTTCTGGCCTCGTTCCGCCATAATAAGAATAATCATTTACATTTGTAATGCGAATCTCATCCAAGGATCCCAAAGCGCCATCTCATGTTCTGTCGACCGCCCCTTCCCTCCATGGGCCTCAATTCTGTTGTTCATCTCACCTGTCTCTTCGTCATCAACGTTTTTGGGTTAATTGGCTGTGTCGGGTGGTGGAGGGTTACGACACATTTATACTTATGCGATCTAACCCAACGTTTATGATTTCGATTTAAAGCTTTCGTGACTGCAGGGATTCATCTTCTTGGTTCTTTCGGTAAAGTCACAGTAGAAGGGAAATAATAAAAGAATAAAAATGAAACGTAATAAAATACAATTCTCACGACGTTTTGGCCACAATGCAAGCAGCCGTCTTCAGGTGAACAATATTGGTCGCGAAAGCCGACGTGACACATTCTGGTGGTGCCCTGCTCAAGTCCATTCATTTTGTGTGTCACTGTAATTTGCATCTGTTGTCTTGGTTTTAATTCTCAAATCTTCTGATTGATCATTTCGTCCCTCGCTACGTTCGAAATCATTGCTTGCTCTGGCACACTTATATGGAATAAGCTGGATGTAAGCACAGTTCTGATATAAACAACATTTCACTGGTGTAGATATTCACAGGGCACCTGATACAAGTACACTTTGGATGGACTTGCATGCAAAACGTGCTTTTATCTGGCTCATACTGAAATACTATCATAACCCATTATTACTGAAACAATGACATGTAATTGTTTTAAACAATGTACCAATTTTATATTCGCTAAACTTGACCGCAAACGCCTTTCTCTGGCAGTCGTAACAGCGCCCAGCAGACGGCGGCACTTTGACAGCCACAAGCAGCGCTCCACATCGTCCAGTGCCGGAGATGGACATTCCACGTTCCTGCGCCGGGGGACCTGGTTCAGTGAGACAGCCGCTGGTGATGTGTATGCACCACGTGGTTAAGGCTGACAATGTCCTGCTCGTTTCAGCAACCCCAGAGGCACGGACGGTGGTGATGACACCAATGCTGTTGCTCTTGACGTTGATGAGGATGTTGCTGCTGCTGATGATGATGATCCTGCTGATGAGGCACAGTCCGTGACCCGAACACGACTTGAACTCAACCTCGCAGTTGGGTGTTTCCAACTCTCTACAATATAACATCCTAGGTAATGTACGTAGTGCTGATAAGCAACTGGATTTCTATTGTCGTTTTGAGCTCCGTATGCTTAGATCGCTCCTGGTCACCCTTGCAAAAAGAGACGTTAAGTTTCAATTGATTCCTGGTGAAATTCAAGCGCTTGCGAATTTGAGACCTGAGTTTGACTCCCGGTCATGGAAATCGACAGTGGCGAATTGTATCGGAATAGGTGACGAGCCAAGCAACATCCCACCACCCCCCACGTCACTAGTTTGCACTGACCGGCGTGGTGAAGTATGGTCAAACTAACCCCATGACCGGCGAGGCCTTCATCCAACAGTGGACACAGAGCTGTACATTTCGATTTAAAGCTGCTTCCGTGACTGCAGGGATTCATATTCTTGGTTCATTCGGTAAAGTCATGTAGAAAGGAAATAATAAAATAATATAAATATATAACAATAAAAAATTATCACGACGTTTCGACTGCAACACAAGCAATCATCGTCAGGTGTGAAATCCACAGCAAGAAAATTTGAAAATTTGAAAAAAATTCTTGCTGTGGATTTCACACTTGACGATGATTGCTTGTGTTGCAGCAGTCGAAACGTCGTGAGAATTTTTATTGTTTTATATTTCTATTATTTTATTATTTCCCTTCTACGTGATGACTTTACCGAACGAACCAAGAAGATGAATCCCTGCAGTCACGAAAGAAGCTTTACATCGAAATCCTCCCAGGTCCGTCGCCATCTCTCGCGGCCCCAGTGCCGCGCTAATCGTCCGTCTCACTCCTCCCAACGCGCGCGGGCCGAGCTCAGACGAGACCGGGCGCATTCAGGGTGATACGGTCGTAGGCCATGCTTGCAGAGACATGACGCACATTCATATGTAAAAATCAAGATTCTACTCTACTGCGGGAGGTCAACACTCATGAAAACGTTTATTCTGGACTCCTGGTTGAGTCCCGAAAGAGTGGCATTAAACGTGCATAAATATATTATATATATATTTATGCATGACAGACAGACAGACAAATAATCCCTGATGGGCAGTGTGGAACTGTTGTTCCTACCTGCTGTGTACACGATCACGTGACTTGAGGTAGCCAGGTAGACAGCCCCCTTCACTATCGGACCCTCCCCTAGGCCCCTCCCCTGACCCCCCCCCCCCCCCTCAGGCCCCTCTCCTGTCTCCCCCCTTCCTTAGGCCCCTCCCCTGACTGACCCTCCTCCCTTAGGCCCCTCCTCTCTCCGTACCGGCAGGAGGTCTCCACCAATCAAAGAGCTGTTTATATTATATATATATTTATGCACGACAGACAGACAAAAAATCACTGATGGGCAGTGTGGAACATATTGTTCCTACCTATATAACGAAAAATCAGTTTAAATAATTACTAAGAACTCGTGATCCCAATTATTGAAACAACTACCAAAAGCATTTTTTAAACATGACTTGGTTCCACCGAGATTTGAACTCAGATCGCAGGATTCAAAGTCCTGAGTGCTAACCATTACACCATGGAACCTTCACACAGAAACCTTGTTACACAGTCAACACGAGAGTGGGTTCAATCAATTGAGGGTGGGGCTGGGTGGGGAGGGGCTGGGTGGGAAGGGCTGGGTGGGAGGGAAGGGGCTTGTGCCCGCCCTCACAGTGGGGCACATGTGCTGGGGCTCAATGTCCAGGATGAGTGAGTTTGCTCCTCCTCCCATCACTTGCGACTCAGCAGCTCGCTGAGCATCTGGCTGTGACGCTGCTGAATGTCGAGCAGCTCTGCAAGAGAGGCGAACAGCTTCTTCTTGACACGACCGCCGCCATCAGCACCACCGGCAGTGTCAGCGGGGGCTGCGTGACGTCGTTTGGACGCTTGCCGAGGAGCAGCTGAAGCAGTAGCAGCAGCAGTAGCAGCAGCAGTAGCTTGCTCCGCTCGCTCCAGGTCATGTCCCAGCGGCTGCACCTGCAGCTGGTCCCACTGCAGCTTCTCCTGATCCAGCTTCTCCTGCTGCAGCTGCAGCTTCTCCTGCTGCAGCTGCAGCTTGTCCTGCTGCAGCTGCAACTTGTCCTGATCCAGGTCCAGCTTCTCCTGCTGCAGCTGCAGCTTCTCCTGCTGCAGCTGCAGCTTGTCCTGATCCAGGTCCAGCTTCTCCTGCTGCAGCTGCAGCTTCTCCTT